GACACCAAAGATGCTAAAAGGAAGATAAATCCTGGTGGCCTCAGCTAAAGAAAGGAGTACAGAGCTTGTCCTGGCCTATTAAATCCTGGAAGTCTGAAAACATGATTTTGTGAGATCTTGTGAGAAACTTGCATTGACTAAACCAAATCAAATTCAAAAACTTTCGAATGAATGAGCGCAAAGGCAACATAGGATGAAGGGAATGAGTCTAAATTGAAAGGAGAAGAGTTGCTTAGGTTTAGTTAAATGGATTTCATAGTGATTTTACTCTAAGTTAGGATGATTTCAGGGCTGATGAGATGAGAAAATCTGGAAAGATTTTTTGGTGTGGAACAAGCATGCTAAAGGACCTGCTGTTGAGGCAATGGGAAAAAGTGATATGCTGCATTATTTCTAGTTTCATGTCAATCATCTTAGGTTTTGACTCTGAGCCACTGTGCTTAGCACTGAAAGTTACTTTAACAAATTGCTGATGAGATAAATGGGGATCATGATGATAAAGTGGTACAGGCTGTAATTTACGGCAATTTTTGTTGGGTAGGAGGAAAAGAACCTTGTCTTCCTGAAAAATACATAATCCGTATTTCTCAGTAGTTCTACCTGAAGAGTAGACATTACAGGTATTGGGGAAGAAAATATTTGAAGTGATTACTTATGTTTTCTGCAAAATAATATTAATTTTTTTTTTTTCTCCACAGTAAAACCAACAGTTATTGATGTTGACATTTATGTCAACAGCATTGGTCCTGTATCATCAATAAATATGGTAAGTGACTTGCTGACAAAGATTTTTATCTGGACTGCTGGTCATGGCATCAATACTAGCTTTTGAAAAAGACAATAAATACCACTGGGATAGGTTATTTTGATTGCTGATTTAGTTCTGTTTTCAGCTATAGCTCTGTTTTTCGGATTGCTCTTTTGTGTCTCTTCAAGAGGAGAACAAACCTACAAGCAATATTATGCTCTGTGTTGTCTACCACAAAATGCTGGTAGATCTTGAATGGTAAAATACCCATCCTAGGAAAAAATAAGTATAAAGCAAAGCTATTTTCAAGAAAATTCTTGAATTAATGTTTCAAGGGTCAATTGAATATACAGAGCTTCATAATATGGAATTAATGAGAGTCATCACATACTATCAGTATATTTATTTGAAATTCATCATCTCTTCAGTGGTTACTTTTCTTTCACTGAGTTATCAACAATCTTTAGCCTTAAAGTATAATTTTGAAGAAGTTATACATAGCTGTACTGGATGTATAAAGGCAGCAGAAACTGAAAGAGTCTGTGTCATAGTGTGACGGTAGTGAACCTAGCAAAACATAACAGTTGGTCAGTTGTTGTGGTCTTCTTAACTCCAGGACATTCCTCAGTTCTGCCGCAATGCATTCAGATTTAGAAAGCAAGCTGGTTGTTTATGCAGCTATGGAGGTATGGGTTACTGTGGCTGCTTGTGCAACGTCAAGTTTGAATTCTGCACAGTATTCCTCTTTGTAAACTAGGCTGAATTTTTTTCTTAATACGACTTGGAAATGCAGAACCTGTTAATATCGTAATTTACTTAAAGCTCTTATACAAACCTCTTCAAAGCAATGACTTTCTCTTGTTTGCAATGACTTTCTCGTGTTCACAATGATATTCAAAGGCTGCTGTGTACAATGGTCATATATGAATCTAATAAATGCACTGCACGTATGTTTTGTATTTTTGGAACAAAAGCTCCTGAATTTGGAAGGCGGTCATTCCGCCTGATTGTTTGGTTTTGCCTATGTATATGGGAGAAAGTAAATTATTGTAGCCTGTCAAATACTGGGTGGTCAGAGACTCCTATGCCCCCTGGCAATGGGAAATCTGGCAAGTGAAGACAGAACAAATTATGTTCTGGGAACAACTTGGTGACATATTCAAAGAGTGTGAAATGTATTGGTCATATTTCATGTGAAGCACTGAATGTCAAGCAATGGGAGTACCTGCTTCATTCTTGAACTAATAAATAGCTAATTATCTTGCCCTTCCCTGACTGCATACCAAAATGACTTGTCTAGGGAATGATTTATCAGAAGATCTATTCTGCTTACAGTCCTCTGGCTTGCATTTACGTATACTTTGGGAATGGATACTCTGTTCAAAAGCAATGGGGACAATGGTAAGGATGCTTACTTTTCAAAGTCTTTTTGCTCTTTGCCCCCCTGAATTAGCTTGTAAGTAGCATTTTAGGGTACTGGAAATGTATGTGGAATAATAATTAAGAAAGCATTTGATTGGAACTGCTTCAGGTAGGAAGAAGGAAAAAGTAATAATAGAAGGAACCAGTGATTCTTGGAAGATTGTTATGGCACAGTCAAAATGTGACTTGTTTACTTATCCCTTAACTTTGAGTTCAGGATATCTTATGGCACCAAGATGGAAAGATGCACCACAATATCAATTTAAAAAATGAATACCGTATCTCTTTGATAGTAGAGAGTCTTATTAGGATAGTTGATGAGTGTATGGCATAGAGATATTTCTCAGTTACAGATGAAAAAAGCAACTACGTATAATCTGTAAGGGCAGAATGATAAATAAAATGATGATGAAATATAAAATGTAAGTACTTGAAGTTTTTAGGACTGAAGTCTGCTTAAAGCTATATTTAAACTTTTGAATAGAAGTGGACCTTTTTTCAGATGTACTTGTGGACAGTATATCCCACTGAAACTGAATCTGAACTAGCTAAGCACTTTTGAGTTTTACTTCTGTTCTCAAACCTAGTTATCAATACAGGAGATTAACATTAGGCACTCAAATGCAGCAAACTTTTGTCCAAAAGCTTCATTTCTGCTCTGTTACTTTGGAGTTTGTCCAAACTTACATGAGAGAGCAGAAATGAGCTCACAGTCTCAAATTTACAATGAAGACGGGAAGTCCTCCTCACAAACCTACAAGCTATGGTGCTGTATGATAACTTGTCGCTCCAGTGGCAGAACTGATTGAGGAGCTACTTTTCACCTCATTTGTGTTATTTCAACTGTTTGGCTACAGTATGCAGTAGCTCTGTGATGCTCTGCTGGAAAACAAAATTAAACACTTTTTGGAATTAAAAATTATAATTAAAAACCATAATTTATTTATTTTTCAGTAAGCAGTTTTTCATGTAGCCTGTGAACTGCTGGAGCATGGGTACACAAACAGCTGAACAGAAACAGTAGCTGGAAATTACCTGTGGCAGAGGAAGGGGAAGGAAGGGACCATCTTCAGTCTGATCCCTGTCATATAGCTGAACTCTCAAAGGGAGAGGAATGTGTGTGAAAATCATGTACAGAATTTAGAATAGTATTCTGGGAGAAAAAAAAAAGAGTATTCTTGTGAGAATCTGCATGTGCTATATTTCTTAGCAGGACAGGAACTTTTAGCTTTTCTCCCCTAATTTATTATTAAAAGTCGAGCTATTCTGTCAAGGCAACTTGGCAAGATGGTAGTTGATTGAACCAAAAGGAAGATGATTACATTGATTTCCATCTCTTCTGTTTCAAGAGTGAGATCATCAACATGTACAAGGAGGACTTCCCTGCTTTGTACTTCCAAACTTAGCCCTTAGCTCTCTTTTTTCTTAATCTGCAGCACTTCTGAGGGAAAATCATGTGGAGCTTCTCTAGAGGTCAAACTCTGCAGGTGTATTTTCTTATCAGTTTTTGTCAGCGTTTTTCATCCTGTGGGTGAGAACTAGGAAGTAAAATAATTTACTTTATCTATTCAATGGGTTTTCAGTTGAATGTTCAAGCCAATTTTGTAGAGCAAAGCTTTTCAGATGTCAATAACTTCGTTGTCATTTTGATTAGACTTGAGTATGAATATTAATATCTCATTGTTTCTTTAACAGTCAGGAAAAAGGCAGTTGCTACCAGACACCTACCTACAGCAAAGATAACCTCAGATGAATTGTATGTGAATACTTGTGGCCCTGAGGAAAAAGAAATCCTCTTAGACTCAGGCTGGAAGTGCCACAAGGGGAAGAAATGTTAGGGATCCCTTCAAAAAAGCTTGCGGTCAAGGGAAAAGTAACGTTCTCTGTGACAAAAATGGTGTAATCCACAGGAATATATGTCTGACCCTGCATTCCAGACTGTTTGCAGAGGGTTTATGCCACTTCCCCTAAAGGCCTTAGCAGTCATTCATTTCCTAGTTGCTTTCAAAAATACCTATTTAGAACCTCAAGTTTTCCAGAAAAAATAAGCGTGATTGTAAGAAGGTAATGTAGATGCTCTTCTATTAGGAACTCATCATTGTAACATCTTTATGATGACAACAGAAACTTGTTTTCTGGATAGACAGTGGTGACTCTTCCTTTGTCTGTGACATGGAAGATTTCTTTGCGACATGGTCTAAAAAAAGCTAATGTTAAGTAGCAAGAAATAGGAATTGTGTAAGAATAAAGAAGTTAAAGCAGGCTGAATAATGAACTGAGTGATATTAGGAGGTAGTCTCAAGTGGCAGTGGCTTTGAAGAAGGAAGTAATTTCAGCATTTTGAGCTATGGCATGGTGTTACGAAATGACAGAAATGGTTGATACTAGACGAGAGTATTTTGAAATTTAAAACTCTGAGATGTTTGAATGCCCATTCAAAAATTTTAGGGTGGCTTTTTAACAGATAAAAGACATCTATTGTATAAATATCTTGATGCCTGTCCTTTATCAAAAACATAATAGGATGTGAGCTTGGATTGATTTAAAAGAAACATAAACTGGTTGATTTAAAAGTGAAGGACACATGGACGTTCTGAACCAAATTAAATCTTCCTGTGTGCATATTATATCCCTTTGTCTTGATTTTCATCTCTTCATAAAGTAAGTTACAGAAATCTGAAACGTGCTGTTTCATGCTACAATGTCATTAGAGACACTGATTTGTAGGATGCAATATTCATATCTATCGCAAGATTTTATTTCAAACTTTTCTGTATTTAAAAACTTTGTTATATCTGTAATCATAATGAACATGCTTCCACTGCTGTTAGGGATATTCTAAGTGGGTTTTTTAAATTTGAAAATTCATCTTCAATCTTGTTTTTACTTTTTCCCCACACTTTCTATTGTCAAACAGGTTTATGAATTCCAGATAACTCAGTTTTCATATCTTAGTGTCTTTTTTTTTTTTAACACTTCCCATCCAAAATGGTGTCCAGGAACTATATGCTTTTGCATTAAAATCCATGCTCCAGTTTTTGTCAACAACCCAGTTCTTGTCAACAACAGCAAAGGTTTATAAGTTGCTTTATAAAACTTAGATCTTAACGTGGCTTACTGTAGCCTCGTTTTCTACAGATAAGCAGTACTGGCTTGTGTATAAAAGAACAGAAAAAGGAGAGAGACCATGTCGATATGCAAAGTGAGAATCAGATGTGACTGATGGGAAAAAAAAAATCCCCTAGAAGTAAGTAGTTTTGTGAGAAAGAAATGTAAACACACTGAGATTACATAGACTATTAAATCTCAATAGCATCAAAGCCTGTGTGTTTGTGTGTACACAGTCTTAACTGAGTAGCTACAGGAATCTGAGGCTGCAGCACAAGTTGCTGGTGAAGGAAGAATTTAACACCTATATGGTTTTAGCAACTGGAATCTCATTTTAATGCAGCTGTACAGAAAGTATGTTGAAGAGAGACCGTGTGAGAAACAACCTTATAAACTGTACTTACCTATTCATAAAACTATTAATTGGTTATCTGCTGGATATATGCTCATCTCTTTATTCTCAGGTAATCTGAAAAGGTAATTCATAG